CCTGAGTTCAATTCCCAGTACAAAAAAAAAAAAAAAAAAAAAAAAAAGATGTCTGGGATGATCTGGGCTTGTGTTCAGCGCGCAGAGGGGCACAGCAGAGGGAGGCCCCTGTAGCGTGAGCTCACCCTCTGTCTTCCCATTCTTGGACTGGGCAGAGGCAGGGATGTGGGAAGAAGAGGGGCGGCCACCAAAACCCTTCCTCCCTGCTGGCGCCTGGGTCTGGGCAGCCACTCCACAGGGTGGACTCCAGCCCCAGGGCCGCCCGGAGGACAACAGAGACCCCACCCACATCCATGCTGAGGCCCTCGAGAGTCCCCCCTGCCCTCTTTGCAGCAGAGGAAGCTGAGCCCAATGCCTCAGGTGCCTGGAGGAGGTGGCTTTACCAGGTGGCCATGCTGAGGGGTCATCTGGCAAGTATCTGCCCCACCCTGTGAACTGGTAGCCGCTCTGGGCCTCAGTTTCTCAGCTGTCACATGGGCATCTGTGGAGTGGGAGGGTTTGAGATGCTCCAGGCCCCAGGGGACCCAGTCACTCTGCTCCCATCGGCAACCAAGCCCCCAGCCCAGCACGTGGCCACTGCCAGGGACTTGGCATACCTCACTGCCCGAGGTATGACCCACAGCACTGGTGTCATCTCTGGATGGTGACAGACATAATGACACCCTCCATCCCACATATTGGGCTGGATGTGTGCCCTGCCTGGCCCGTGAAGGTTCTGTCCCCCCTGGATGGGTGGCAGGGACACCCCCACCCCTCCATTCCCTGGTCGCCTTCTTTCCAGCCACAGGCGCCACACAGCGTTTGCCTGAAACTGTTTCTGATTCTGGCTGGGCCCCCAGCCCTGGGTCCATCTGCCTCCCCCAGCCCTGCCCCTCACCGCTGTGAAGTAGGGAGAAATGCACTGCTCTCCGGGGCTTTGGGGTCCTTTTGTCCCTCTTGGACCCTGCAGGGTGGCTGGGTCAGGGAGGGCTTGGGGGCTCTGGGGATACCTGTCTTCTCAGGGACTTCCAGGGAGAAGGGATGCCCCTCTTTCACCAGCACTTGCCCCAGGCCTCAGCGGGGGTCCCCACGCCAGTGGGAGCAGAGACTCGCACTGGCCCTCCCTTCCCAGGGCGTCCCTTTCCCGGGGCCCCAGGGGCCTCGGGGCTTACCCGGAGCTGCTGTGGCCGTGGTCGCCGCTGCCTCTGCACTACATTCACAGGTCCTCCTCCTCCTCAGAAGTCGCTGTGCTGCTCAGCTTTGCCACCTCCCCACGGAGGGGTCACAGCTCCCCAGCTCTGGGGAGGCCCCCGGGAGCACTGAACTCTGCCCCTGCCCCACAGCAGGGTGCCCCTGTGGGTGCGGGAACTGGGGTGAGGCCCTGGCTGGTGGGAAGCGCCCTTCACCTGTCCTGTTCACAAAGGGCTGTAGTCCCGGGCGCACAGTGGTGGAGCAGCGGTGGGGACGAGTGTGCACAGCTGTGTGCACGTGCGCTCGGCGGCATTCGGGTGGTGAGAGGATTTCACATCAGCTCTGGGCTCTGGCTCTCGCCAAAGCAGCCTCTGAGCCCCAGGGCAGAGCTGTGACCACGCAGGCACTCCTCACGTGGCCAGCAGCTGCCAGCGAGTTGAGGCTGAGCAGCAGCTCCGCACTGCGCCTCTGTGTGTCCCTCCACTTGTGGCCAAGGCTGAGATCTGGGCCAAACCTGGGGC